AAAAAAAAAAAAAAAAAAAAAAAAACTCCATCAACGTGCAAATGAAGAGGAATTTGTATGTGAATGGTGTAATATTCTCTGCACATAAACCAAACTTATACTACTTGGGCCGAACAAGTGTAGCCCCAAAACGTACTTGGCCCACTACCCAAAATCAAATCGAGCCTGACAAAGACCACTTCAATCTCTCTCTCTCTCTCTCTCTCTCTCTCTCTCTCTCTCTCTATATATATATATATATATATATATATATGTATAAGTTTGTATTTCATGATAGTAGCTGAAATTCCGCCTAAAAATTTTGTTTTTACCTTTATCAGTAATTTTTGTAAGAACCTTTTAAAAAGTGACGGTCAACTTTTTAAAGTTCAAATTAAAAAAGTCAATTTAATAGTTATACAAAATTCATTTGGTCAAAATTACAGCTCACTGTGCAATATTGACCGTGCGTCGCAACGTAGCAAATTTAATTAAATTTTCATCGACCAACCTCTACTAACTAGTAATAGTAGGGAGTAAGGGTCAGTTCCATGAGGAGTAAGAGTTCAATTGTAATGATTCTCGTATTAATTGAATTAAAATATGAAATCAATAAAAAGGTGTGTTGGTTTTATAAGAATAAACAAAAAAATAAATATAAAATAAGATAAATCCAGTTTTCGGTTTAGTTATCACCCAATTTGAATATATTGTTAATTAATTTGACCCCTTCTTTTAATTGCTAATGAATTACCAACCCTAACTAACAATAAACTCTGTTAACCTAATTTTTCTTTACCGATTATTTAATCGAAACAAGTTCTTCGACTAAAATTAGGTAGCAGACAACCTAGAATAAACTCTATAGATTTAGTGCACTAGCGGCATTATTTTCTAAAAAAATAGATTAGTATAAGCAACGGACGCGAAATCTCGAACCATTTTAGCTTATGTTCACGCTACCCTAGAGATGCATGACCCATAGTTTACTACTAACGAAACATGAAACAAGAACAATAAGAATTACGAATTAAACTCTTGAATCTAACAATTAAACTATGAATATTCGACATAGCTGGCCAAACTAAATCAAACACCATAATTCATAAACGTTAAACATAGATTGCATGAATCAACGTCTAGATTACTTAACGATAAATAAAGATCATCTAATTCATAGACAAATCAAACTTAGGATTCTAACATTCCCTAAAACTACTATAACATACTAATAAATATACATAAGAGACAAAAGAGAGAACAAAATCTCCTCGTGCGCGTATGTGGCTTTCCCGTGCGTGTGTAGCCTCTCGCCTTCGGTCCTTGCGTGTGCCATCTCTGTACAACTTTTTTGTTCTCTGTCCGATCGCTCACGGCTTTTCTTCCTCTGCCAAATAATTCCCAAGATTATTTTTTATTTATTTATTTTTTTTTTTCGCGTGAGTGTCCAAACTCCAAATAGAACAATAACTCTTCCCACTCAATTAATTGTGGCCTCTCCCAAATGTATGACTCACAATGCCCAGCATTTGATTAAATCTCTTCAAATAAATCTCATGGCAAATGTATTCACAGCCCATGTTGTTGCATGTGTTGGATTTATTTGGGCCCAAATATGTGCACTTTATTTTGGGCCCGAATAATTCTCACCCAGCTGAATATCCATCATTACGGCTCCTACCCATTAACATTTCCGAATATTTTTCAAATTACTAAAAATAAACAATAAGAATATTAAAGTACATAAAGTCCTCTAAATAATAATAAATCGAAAAATATAAATGCGTGAATAAATTAAGTGTATAAAAATACACTATTAAATGTATCAAACGTACATATTTTTCGACATATCAAATATTGTACGCATGTGTTCGAAATTGTAATTACCAAGGAAAGAAAATAAATAAATATAATTGATGTAAATAATATAGTCAAATAAAAAGATAGAACATGGTCAAATAAAAAGACAATCTTCATGTTCCTCGAAAATCTCTTCTATAAATTCCATATGACAATTCTAGAGCAACCACATATGCAATATTTAATCAAGATTAATTCTTACAAAATTTAATACAAGGACTTTAATTAAAGTCTTTTTTTATTCATCAAAGATTAATCAAATCTTCAAATATAACTAAATTACCATATAAATTGATTTGTTTGACTAAATGTATAATTGCCACATTAATAAAAATTTACGCGTATCAACTGACATGCATAACATATTTTCTATCAAATTAATCAAAATCTGCAACCAAATAAAATATTGTATATGAAATTTAAAAGTATCACCATACAACACACACACATACACATACACACACACACACACATATATGTATATATATATATATATATATATATACTAGATTTGATTCGGCTGTGCACGCACAGCCGGCCCATAGTCCAGTCTATAATTA